CCAAATAGTTTCGAAGTACAGTACAGAATGTAGCTCAGGTCTAACTAAAGCTATTATTCAACCAAAAAATCAGTCAACTCATGAATTGATTGCACAAAGTCTCGAACAGACGCAGAGTGGACACGGTCGGGTAGAAACGGGACGAGTAACACTGTGCAAAATAAACCAGCAACGTTCTCTGGCAAAAATGTTAGGAATGGGTTCCATAAACAAATGGCATTTAACCACATTCAACCTACCGCACTAAAGAGTCAAATGGATATATATTTCCAAAAAATAAATTATAAAATCAAATTATATTTAACATGGTGCACGTTAAACTTTTTTTTTTAAAAATTCGGTTACATCCGGGTTTTTTTTAAATTATTATTATTTTTTTTTTAATTTTCTTTTTTTTTTATTAGAAGTTCTTTAACACAGGAAAAATTATTTTGTATGTAATCGATTGAGTAGTATATAAAACAAATTCTACATTTGGTTAGTGAGCCACATAACTTAATTAATGTTCAAGAACTGCATCTTAGAGATTACTAGAGGGCCAACACTTACGCCTAAAACGTTTCAAGACTTTTCAAACCATTGTTTCCGATCAGTTACTTTGTTACCACGAAAATTCCTTAAAAACTAATGAGAATAAACAGTATGATTATTGATAAAATAAAAATAAAAAATAAAAATAAACCAGTTAGAACGCAAGAGTAAAGCTGCCTACAATTATTTCTTTATACTTTGAATCCTGTTACCCTGGATTTTGTTCTCAATGATGAAAAATGAACTCCGCTCATTATTCATCATAACGGACTTAGAGTCCCCGTAAATGAATAAAAACGACGCACACTATATTATATTATCTGCAAAAAAAAACTCCCTGAATAAAATGTATACGCTTAAGAATCCCAAAAAATTCTGGAAAGCGGTTAACGCGATTGAAAGAGAGTCGATAACCGTAACATGGATTCAATCTGTGTTGATAAACTTACTGAATTTTATAAATCGAAATTTGAAATATAACTGTAATAGTGCTAAAATGAAATCTGCAAATAATGAATTGTAAACTTCAATACATTGCAATTTGGGTTCGTAAATGGTAGAGGTACAGCAATGACGCTGCGACGGTTCATGATGTAATTAATTATAGCATTAACAAAGGCTCACAAGCCTTCGCTTGTTCTTTGGATGCAGAAGGGACCTTTGATGCTATACCTTACGACTATTTGAAAAACTTAACTAAGTGGCGAAATCGATGATGAATGGTGGCGTTGTCTACTGTCATGGTATACAAACGTAACTGCTAATGTTAAGTGGAACAATAAATCTGTCTCTTATACACATCTAGATGTGTATAAGAGACAGCAGTCTGAGAGTGCCATTTTCGGCCATGGGAGGGGGAACCTCCTCTCAACCCCTTTCTCCAGCTCGAGCCTACGAGCTCAAGTTCCCCTGTCGGGACAACTTAGCCCCCTCAGAAAATATATCCTAGAGCCGCCACTGGAATCAATACAGTATGTAAAAATACAAAAACGTCTTCACAGATTTCATTCGTGAGTAGGGTACGCAAAGGTTAACAAGTATGCCAACACTGATAAGCAACGTCCAATCTGGCGTGTCATACCTATCCGATTAAGAACGCAGGAATTGGGTAAGAATATATAAAAGAAGATATATTTTAATATATATACCAAATTTCGAAATTTCACACTTTAAGCACTATATATATATATATATATGAATCTAAATCTAGGTAGTTTTATACTCACTTGCTTAACATCGAGGCTAATGATAAATATGCTCTTAAAACTACATTAGTTGATCGTATAAAACGAAGTGTTAATAACGATTTTTCTTTGTAATATTTGTTTAATAATAAGTACAGTCACCAATTAAAACGGGAATTGAAACGGATCGATTGTCATAACCATAGGATATGTGATAGTGTTAAAAATGTAATGGAGAGAGATATGTTAATCAATAATGAAAATTTGATATCAAACTTTTGCTCAAAAGTGTTTGAATAAGTATTGTGTATATGTATGTTTATGTATGCATGTTTACATGTGAGTGTGTATGCATGTGTGTGTATATAATATATGTATATATATATATATACTGTATATATGTGAGTGTATGTATGTGTATATATATATGTGTATATATATGTATATGTATATATATATATATATATATATATATAATACATATAGTGATTTTATTGAATAATTATAATTGTTACTATCAATTACTCATTCCTAAGCACATGATTTTATGTATTTTAATGTACTTTAATATTTTGTTTTTCTTTTTTATACCCTCCATTTTTTGGAGGGAATTTTGAAATAAATTGAAATATAATTGGCTTATCTTTAAAGAGCAATCACTTTATTCATTATTGTCAAAGCCAGACGAAATTCTTTGAGAGTATATATGTATATATATATATTTACTATATATATATATATATATATATATATAAGTACTATATATATATATATAAGTACTATATATGTTTATGTATCAGGTATATAAGAAATATACCTGATCACACACATTAATGAATATCACTCACTCATATACTGATATTTACATATAGATGTGTAGGACAAATAGTAGTAGTTAATGCATAGTCATTCGACCGTATTACATACGATGTTAATAATTCACAACATATTATGCTTTTGAAGTCTTATTTGTTCATATTCAACAAAGGCATGGGATCAATATTGTATTAAAACTGAACTCAGATTCAACCAGACTCGAATTTGGGACTTTTTGCATACATGTCAAACAACATAACCACTTGGACACGAACACATTCAAGCGCCAGGTAGAATTTTACCTGCTTTCTTTTTTTTTAATCGTGTCTCACGTCACTATGTAGATATAGCGCTAATATCGCACGTGCCTTTGCATTATTTTCAGCCTGTTTGAACTTGAATTAGATACTGGTTTATAAAGTGATTTTAAGGCATGGAATAACAAAAAAAAAAAAAAAAAAAAAAAAAAAAAAAAAAAAAAAAAAAAAAAAAAAAAAACCACAAACAGGAAGTAGGAAAATGCAATGAATAATATAAATTGAAACTTAACAAAAGAGAAATCTAGTGACAATGAAAGAAAAAAAAATACTCAGTCTCCACCGGACTCGAACTCGGGACCTTTAGCATACAGGGCGACTGCCATAGCAACTGGAATCACTAATAACAGGGGTCCCAAGTTGTGGAAGTGAAATTCCTGGAGATTTTGTCGTGATGGTCATTCCAAGGATTGTCGCGCGCCGCGACGCGCTGTGGCGCATGTACTGCAGTTACATCATCACCGTCAACACACTTTATAAACAGAAACTTATTGAAAATACTACAATAAATAAACAGTACACATTTATTATGCTGCATCACTTAATGATATTTAATC